GTACGAAAAAGACATGGTTTTTAAGAGAAATTTCTCAGTCCAATTGAATTTAGTTCTTCTGTTTTCTTAAAACGAAAGTCTGCTAGTAAAAATAAACGTCATATTTAGATTTAACATTGGGAAATCTTTAAGAAGTACATTAATCATACTATCTGAATGACTATTAAAATATCCTTTGAAAAAGTAAAATATCAGACTATAGATTTTTCTCAGAAGGGAAAAAATAATTTTAAAAAAACTTGTCTAAATTTTAGCTGTTCATTTTATTCGTTGGTTCAAGTTCTTTGAACAATTTTAATATATGATAAAAGAGCATGAATTACAATTAATTTCAAAGCTTCGTATCATGTATTCTCTATTCTTTACAGTTCTTTTTTAGAATTTTTAAACGCCATTTCTATAATTCTCTCTGCTAGTTAATATCATGGTCACAATAATGATCAACGTGGGACTCCTGTCCTCAGAACTATGGTTCACTATGAAACAGTACGGAAGATGTATATAGAACACAAAGTGCAGTATAAAAATAATTATAATACTTTTTAGCATTCACTTTTCCTGATCAGTTAGATTAAACAAGCTATTATATTATAAAAGGATAAATAATATGTTTATTTGCATATATTGTAGATATAATATACCAGTCACATGATTATACGCAGAGCTCAGAAATGATAATTCAATTTCTTGAATTTCTAGTCAAAACATTATCATAAATGAAAATAATCGGCAAAATATTGCTTATCAATACGATATTTATTTTCACAACTTTACATATTTTAACGAATTTCTTCACTATTTTTAAATCTTTTATTTTTTACAGAAAGAAAATTCAATTTATATTTATTAACTCCTTCAAAGATGGTGTATTGTAGCACATAAAATACTGTCCTGGCAAAACTGACGGATGAGAAGAACAAAGAGAATCTAAAAGCAGCCTTCGGCACGTTTGGCCAGTACGCGGAAACGTGAGACTTTTATCTTCCACACGCCCTCGCGCATAGTTGATTCTCAAAATGTTGCCGCTAAGCAAGGCATGAAATCTTTAAGCGATTTAAAAAACAATATGTTACCATTACAAAAGATTTTTTTAATTTATGTTCCTTGCACTCTTTTACTTAGAAAGCCTATGTGCGTTGCTATGAAAAGCGCAACATCTTAAATATATATTTCAAATTAAATCAATTATTGATTAATAAACTGAATAGGTCAAAACTATAAACGCATTTCATAATAAATTAAGTTTTTATTTAATTTTTTAATAATGTTATTCTTGTATTTACTCAAAATAAGTTCTTCCTTACATTTTTGTTCTGTAATTTTGTAGAATTTGTAAAGAGGTATTGTAGAGGTTGTTGAGGTATTTTGAACCTCTACTAAAAATAAATCTCGTACAGAGATTTTAGATTATAATTTTAATACCTCTTTACAAACTCTAAATTGTAGAGGTATTGTGAACATAAATTAAAAACTAAAGTTTCAGAATGAGAGGTAGGAGCTTAATTGTCATACTATGTAGGATAATTGCACTGTTTAAATGCTAAATAAATCACACAAGCAATTGCTGTCTATATAGACTGTATAACTACCGTTAATTACGTCACAGCTACGAACAGCTCTGCATAACAGCTACGCGTAGCTGAGCGATTTCAGTTTAGGCCTTCATCCACTATACTTCATCCACTATACTAGGCACTGACATACCTGACAACAAGTAGCTTTATATTGTTTTGTTTTACATACTTACTGTATTGATATTACTTTATATCGCTAACTAATTGTATTCAATTAAGTAGCTAAAGTAGTTTTTCATTCTAATTTAGAATCATGCTCTTATCAATATTCACTTATGTTAGGTTAGGTTATTTAATTACGGCAAAGCCTCGAGGGCTATCTGCCTAAGGGCAGGGATGTCTTCGTGGAGAACTTTCTAAGGGAAACTAGCTCGTATACACGTTACGCATGGGGAAAACCACGAAAACACCCATGCAGCCAGCCTGTTCGCGGGATTCGAACCTCGGACCGAACTACCAGTGTTCAGCGACTTTACCGCTCGGCCGCTGGTGGGCTTCACATCATCATGGGCTAGAGTGACAATGAATCTTTGAAATGAAATTCATGTGACATTTTAAACATAATTTCCGATTTTTGATAAATGTTTGCTCGGTTGTTATATCCGGGTAAATGTGATAATAGATGTAAATTAAAATTCATTTAGTTTATCACATAACAAATCGATAATTTTTTATAAAAATTTGCAGGTTTATAGGAATTAACAGAAGATGTTTCTAACTCCGTGTACACATAACATATAACTGGTGCACAATCATTTGTTATTTAATTTTTACGTTTTGGTTTCTAAATTTTTTTTTTTATTTTTGATAGCAAACTCTTTTTCTTTTAGGCGTTAGGCAGTACTTTATTCAAATTTAAATTTTTTAAATTTTAAATCTGCCTCATTTTACTCCTTGTAAGTATGCCTAAAAAAAGCCTGATATATATCTACCACACAAGCTAATGGGAAATATGCATATTCCCTTTTCCTAGCACAGTAATGTTTCTTTATCAACATCTACCGAGTTTACATACTATATATCACGTGATATTTATGCAATAGACACACAAATACAGGATAATTTAATTATTAAATCAAACATGCAACACATTACCAGTGTTAAATTTGCTAACGCATAAGTTTAATGCAGAAGAGATAATAAAGAATTGAAAGGTCCTTGCATAATTATCATAAATTAGAATCTGTAATACTCTACCCTCATTAACATTAAGCTAAATGATAATAACGCCCTTATGCGTGTATAATGTATTCTCTAATTCTACAGCTTATGAAAATGAAGGAAAATTTAGTTAGATCACAAAAAATGCATAACGAAAACATATTGTGCAGTTTTCAAGTACAGCTTTAAGAAATGAGAGAACAGTTAAATATCGAAATTATTCACATAGCATACACGAAAACAGGATTATCTATGAAATTTGCAAAGCTAATTTTTGCACATTCCATTATTTGATATTAAGATTTATTTGTTAATGGATATTCACTGGTTAAAAATATATTTAAGCTTAGTGCCTTATTTAAAAAAAAAAAAAAAAAAAAAAAAAAAAAAAAAAAAAAAAAAAATTAAAAATTCTGTGGCCAAATACAAACATAAAATAAATTATTAACTAAAGTCGAAACAACAGTTTCTCTGTGAATAATATGAGCAAAATTTAAAAACTTCCAAACTTGTTCTTTCGCTGATGTAACCCCTAGATTACAACTAATCCCTAAGATTTTAACGGAATCCTTAGGGTTCCGTGAAGCCTCATTTGAGGAAACCTGTTCTAGTATTTTAATTAGAAACTTTTATGCAGTTACTAATCTCTCTCTTTATATATACGTACATATATAGAAAATTCAGAAAATGTTATTTTTATTGGAGCTATAGTTAGGAAATTAAAAGTAATAATAAGGCTATATTTCTTGTGGCACTCCATATTAACATCAAAAGAATACAAGACATTTTTTAAACTATCAATATAGCTGCGATGAAAACCATACTTAGAAATATTTACAAAGCAATCAACTTTTGAATTACTACTCTAATCTTAATTTTTAATAATATTAAGCTCTATTCTTATGTAATTTTTGTATTACGATTAAACCAAAAATAAATGTCGTACAGAGATTTTAAATTATAATCTTAATTTAAATATTCGTATTAAATAAAGCACGTACAGAGATTTTAGAATTTTCTTTCAAGGTACACGTAATTTTAATACTCATGAATTATCTTAATTTTTCGAAGTCTTGAACTTCCATAAAAATTGCATTCCATAGAAATTCCATAAAAATTCCATTGTTCATAAAAATAATGTATAAGAAAAACTGATAGGAAAATAACAATTAAAATGAATTTTATACAGAATTTAATATGCGATGTTTTTAATAAAGGTTTAAGTAAATGTGAAATTTTAGGCATATTATTTTTCACAAAAATGGAAGCAAAATTTTTATTCCTGAGAGATTTTTAAATTTTTTCGTTCGATGAAAGTATAATTTGATGTTTCATCCAAAATTTTTTTAATTTGAAATGTTGCTTTCTCCTAGTGTTATAAATGATAATGAATTCACAGTTTTACATTTCGGACTTCATAAATAATAGAATTTAAATCCCAGTTTTTCAATTTATGTCCCTGAAAGGTCATAATTTGTCTTTTTAAATAAGAGATGAAATAACTTTGCAGGCAGTATCAAAGGCACGATCACCGAACTGGTCTTCAATATATGTTAGTTACTTAATCATCAAGTAATTCAAATATTCTTTTTAAAATGCATTAAAAAATCTGATTATTTATTAATTCAAACTTTCTATTTTTAAGTTAATTTTTTTTTATTCCGAAATATTTCTTAATTACAAAAATGGTCATAAATGTTCTTTTCCTCAAATCGAGTGTGAATAATTTTACATAATCATCTAAGCCGTGAATTTATGTATGAAAATTATTTCGGGAAACTATACAATAGTCAAAAAAGAGAAAAGAAGCTGAAAAAGAGAATTTTTTCCTACAGTTGCATTTCACTTTCACTTTCAGCTCTTAATTTCTAAACACTAATTTTATGTAAATATTCCTCTTCCCCCCCCCAAGTTAAAAAAAAAGTCTAAGAAAAATTAGTTTAGAGATTTTAGAACTCATTTTTTAAAACTTTCAATGTAAACTTTTGTCGTTAAACATAACATAACTTTTGTCGTTAAACATAATAACTTTTTTATCGTTAAACATAACATAACAACGTTTCTTAGTATAACATTTTAAAAGTATTTATAGAAGACAAAATTAAAAAAAAAAAAAAAAAAAAAAATAATAATAAAATACTATTTATATTATTCCGTTTTTTATATAGTAATAAATACTGCACTGTCATATTAAATAATATTTTCTTAGGTATAAGAGAAAGCTGTTTAGATCAGGTAAATTTATAACATAGAAAATTTTCTTACTTTTATCGTGATTTTCTCCTTGAATGCCATAATCCCTTCGCGACCAATGAACCAATTGGGGCCATTACTTCAAAATCAGACCCATTTATTGCTTTCTAAAAATTCGCCAACGTTGGCGACCGATCGCTACTTGTTTTCAGTTTCGCCAGTCTCTTAACAAGCAATCGCCACCGGGCAGATGATACCTGAATTCCATTAATTCAACCACTTTCGTGGTCGGAAAACGTTTTTGTCATTGTTATAATGTCTCTTCCTTCTTTTCTATTTTTGATCGTGGAAACGTTCGGGTTACACTGCGCGTTAGGGAATTTTAATGGATTAAGGAAACCCTTTTAATTTTGTTCACTTTAACTGCAATTTTGATTTCTTCTTTTAGTTGTCATAGCATCAATTTTTTTTTACAAAGGCAAACGTAATTTGTTTTTTACATTCTTCTGCATTGAGGGGGGTGGGAGAAATAGGATTTTTTATAAATCAGTTGTCAAGAGTTTTTGTCATATTAACTTAATTTTCTGGCATGTGTTCGTTATAAATGTAATATAAAAATGAAGATTCTTTTCCTGTTTAATCTGAATTATATAGACTTCTAACACTAACTCACGACTGAAAAAAATCGAGAATTCCTTCTATAAAATTGACTTTTATGAACAGCGAGTAATTTGAGACAACAATGTAAACTTAGTTGGTATTCATGTTTATTGTTTTACAATATGAAGACATAACATTTCATTAATTCTATTTCACTGTCATTACACGATGCCACCAAATGCGTATGTGCGTATTTCAGTCTCCTTTTATACTTAGTATTCCTTTCTCATAATTTTATTCGAGCTCTAATTCTGATAATGATATTTTTTTTTAAATGTAAAGATGCAAAAAAATTTATAGTAACTCATACAATATCAAACTACGCTAAAACCATGAATATGCATTTCTTGCCTTCGCTTTTATTTCATGCGTTTTCTACATTCTTCTTCAGTGTTCTCACAGCGTTCTAGATAAGGAATGCATATAAAAGAAGTGCATGTAAAAGTCCCCCCCCCCCATTTTTTTTTTTTTTTTTTTTTTATTTTTTCCTTTAAACACATTTATTCGAAACTTTGAATTTAATAGATTCGGGTTTTGCGTGGTCCAGACAATATGCTGGTTGCGAAACAATGTACTGTAAAGAATTTAATGTCATCGACTAAAATATATTTTCAAGCTGTATATTAATTTTGGTGTAAAACAACACATATTGCTATTTTTGCACAAAATACTTCTGTTGTCGATTATGTAAATAGTATTTTATAGTTATAAAATCTGTAATAACTTTCCTTTTGAATTTGATGCATCAAAATGGAATTTTGCACTTTCTATCTTTACTCCCTGGCCGTTCCTTAAAGACACTATCCAATAAGTCTTAAGAAATAAAAGTAATTTATGAAAATAAGAATGAAGAAATTTTATTTTCATATGGTTTTAACTCTCTCTGATGCTATTCAGTGGATGTTTTAAGCCATATACAAACTTCCAAACTTTCATCTAAATCACCTTTTTCAAAACTTTTATACTTTTCTAAGTTTCTGTATCTGTTTCATATTTTAAGCCATAACTACTAACAAACTAAAAGTAGAACCGTGAAACATATTAATTACGAAAACAATGTTTTTCATTGCAAGACTATTACATATGCAAAGATAAATCGCTTCCTTCTTCAATCGGCAAAGAAAGAGGAAGCGGTCATCGCACCACTAACAAAACTCGTCAGTTCCAGCAGGGTAAAGAACAATACTCAAGATTGTGCGCTAGCAAGGTACAGTATGCTTTTCTGCTTTTTTTAAAAAGTGAGTAACTTGTCCATAAAATTGAGTCAATTACCATAAACAAAAGAGCATTACTTTGTAGTTATATATATAGCTTAACATCTTTGCAAATCGTAGGATAATTCACTTAACCTCAGATCTTTATCTTTGTCCTGTAACTGTTTGAAATAGTAGCTGTATAATTAATTGTAGGACAGAAAGTCTTTGTAACAACGTGCTCATTATTATTCTGTATCCAATGCTTTTCTATCAGCGGATCCTTTTTGTTGAATACCTGTTCAGTTCTTCTTCAAGACAAGAAATCAGGATATGTCAGCGTCATAAATCACAACATTAATGTTCACTTCTGTGGTGCTCTACTGTATAGGCGAGAATCCTAGCTCATCACACACAGTGAGACTGCATGCGGAAAAGAAATGATCTTTAAATGAAAGTATTGCAAACATTCTCTTCTTTAATTGGATTATTTTTAATTACAGAAAAGACTCTCTCGCGCGCTTTCTTTTTGTTATTATTAACTTACAAGATTTAGCAAAAGCAAATTTAAATTTGCAAGTCATATACTTCCTCGGTGTTTTCTTTAGAGACACAAATTATATTTTTGTTTTTACAAAAATATTTTAAGATTTTCTAATCCTTTTTGTTAGTTTTTCTTTCTCTATTCATACTCCATGCTGAAATGTGCTTTCCGGCAAAGACAATTCTTTTCCGTGCATCGTTGAAGTCGCAAATCTTTATTACTATAGGCTTTTATTTAACTAACTCTTGGTATTTATCTCTATAGTAACAAGATTTTAGACAGCTTCTAACAAGCTATCGAATTCTAATTTTGTTCACAAACTGTTTGTGAATGCAAATGCAGTATGGTGAAGTGATTTTTCAAAAATTCGATTTAGAATTTTTTTTTAATTTAGTGTTGAAGCTGTTTTTTTGCACATATCATCGTTTAGAGAACAAATTTAAAGTCTCTAAAATTTTCTATTGATATCGAAAACATCCATCCAATACAATAGAAAAACACATCATCATGGTTTGGTTTATGTAGTTATGGCAAAGCCTCGAGGGCTATCGACCTAAGGGGAGTGATGCCTTCGTGGAGGACTTTCTAAGGGAAACTAGCTCGCATACACGTTACACATGGGGAAAACCACGAAAACGCCCATGCAGCCAGCCCGTTCGCGGGATTCGAACCTCGGACCGAACTACTAGTGTTCAGCGACTTTACCGCTCGGCCGCTGGTGGGCCTCACATTATCATGGGCTAGAGTGACAATGAATCTTTGAAATGAAATTTATGTGACATTTTAAACATAATTTCTGATTTTTTGATAAATGTTTGCTCGAATTTCTCGCTTTGTTGACTATTTGATGTTCATTATTTTAAACTTTTAACGTCTAGAAATAAGTTGGTTGCAAAGTTTTGCAATTTTAGCAGATGTAGGAAAAAAAAATATTATTGACTGTGAAATTTTCTATGTTTTTTATAAAATATGCTACATTATGAAACATACGGGAAATTATCGTTTCTTCAGTTAATGTTATGATGTCATTACACCACACTATTTTACTTGCTTCTGTGTAGATTTCTCTAAATTAGATTTTACTTGTTTTTATTTTAATTCCACTCTCCTTGCAGCAAGGACCTCACTATAGAAGTATTCTGCTATTTAATAAATGCAATAATCTTTTTTAATTGATAAATTTTGCGTTTCCAATTCATTTCATTTTATTTATCTCAAAACCAACAGCACTGATCAGCGTTTAAAATTACTTGCAATTTAATCTAAAGCATTTTTAATTTTTTTCCATTTCCTGCTTTTATTGACATTCTTCTGCATTTCTGTATTTAATTTACTGACAATATTCATCTCTAATTTTATATCACGAATAGCAAAAGCGTGGGCTTCTAAATTATATCTTTTAATTTATCAAAGGCACTCCATGCATCTATCATTCGTGATATAAAATTGTATATGAATTTTGTAAAGAGAATTATTTAATCTCTTGCTCCCATTAATTTATTTGGTACATTATTTTTTATCCTCTTAATTCATTAATTATTTTATAAGCTTTAAATAAAAGCTTATTTTGTAAAAGCTTTTTTATCTATTTATTTTTTAACACCTGCAAAAATTATTTGCATTTAAGATTCACAAGTCTTAACGTAAAATTATTTAATTTTTATTCATTTTATTTTATAATTTAGAAAATACGTAATTTCAAACCTGTTCTTTGTTGACACGAAAACAGTAAAGGACGTTTTAAATTAGGATTCGTTTCAGTTCGTAAATGGTGCATAAATAATAACTATCAAAGTCGTAAACTTTTACTAGGCGTTAGAGCAGAGATCTCCTTAGGTAACTAATTGCTAATAATTTCTTGCTAGAAATTAGAATTCAGGAGACCTTCTGTCTTCTTTTTAGATCTGAGCAGTATAAGCATATCTTAGATTTTTCGGGTATTTATGCTTAAGGTCCATCTATAGAAGAGGAAAATTCACGATTCATTTGGGAAATCAAGCTACTATAAGTTAAAAGAAACAACTATTATTTTATATTATCTTCTTTTAAAAATTATTTATTTATTTCTGAATGATATGTTTAAAAAATCTAAAAGGTTTAAAATTCTTTACTTAATTTTACTGTTAGATAGAATTAAAGATAAAATTGCCTCTAAATATAAAATTCAGTAAATAAAATAGCTTAGTTTATGAGAACTATAGTATGTAAATTTAGTTAAAATCTACATTTGAAAAAAAAAACAATGGGTGGCTGGGGGCGGGACAAAATTTAACTTTTACAAACTTTTTGTACTTTTCATAAATTCTTTGGTAAAGGAATGTGTATAATAATACTTTAAATAATCACTTTTCATCTCTGTTATAAAGACTGCTTTCCTTCACTAAATATCATATCACAAAAGCTTCAGTCATCGTAAATATTTCCCATAATTTCAAGAATATGAATTCTTTCTTTGGTGATAAAAGAAAGTAAACGAGTTTTGTATTTACGTAAAAGTTTAATTCATAAAATATTCAAAATTTATTGAATTAATTTATACCGATTTATACGAACTACATAAAAAGAGGAATCTCGCAGAAGGGGATGATCCCTTTTCTCCTAATGTATCTTTTTGAAGCTAAATTTTAATGAATTTCTGGCATTTTGGAATTCCCAGCATATAGCAGTGTCAAAAGGTTCATGTCCGTGATTATAAAATCAGATTTCAGATTCGGATTATACATAAAAATTGCATCAAAATCGCTATTATTCATATTAGGATTTGCCTTTTGAGACAGATTTTTTGAATTCGACTCATGTTATTT